CCACAAAAAAAAAAAAAAAAAAAAAAAAAAAAAAAATCAGGTAAGGAAATATATGCACGTTAACAGTAAAAGTAATATGTTGCAATGATATTTAGAACTGTCCCTTTAAGTTTGCAAAATACTCTTAAAAGCACTATTGCATTTTATCATTTCAAAATATTATGAGGTTAATAGAATTTAGTTATACTAATATTGTACAGGTGAAGAAATTGAGTCCAAACCATCCAGGGTCACTCAGTAGACTCAGGTAGGACCTCCTGACTCCACACTGATTTTTCTTTCATTCATTCATGCATTCATTCACTCATTTATTCATCAAAGATCTTCTGGAAACAAGCTAAATATCTGTCTGTAGAGTACTCTTAAATAAATGAAGGCATTAATAAATAAGGCTAAACAAAACAGTGATATCTGTCTTAAAGATGTGTTGTAATTAATGGAAGAAACATACAATTACTCAGTAATTAGACTGGTCAGCGATATGAAAGAGAAATGGTTGGGGTGAGAGGACAGAAGAGTTGTCATGGAGGAGGTACCTAGTGAGTGGTATCGAATGTTATACAGGTACATGGCAAACTGCTATAAAACATTATAAGGATGAATATTTAAATGTTTATAGAAAAAGAATTAAATTCCTTTCCTTAAAGGGCAGGCATATCGCCACTGGTATGAATTTATAATTATTTGAAGGGTAACTTACAGACTATGGGCAATTCTACGTTCCTTCAAGGGTCTTATTTATACATCAGTCCCTCTCTGTATTCTATGTGCGGAGGTGTGTGTCTGTGTGTCTGTGTGTGTGTATTATTATTGCTTTCCCCTCAGTGTATAAACATTCTTTTAGTTAGGCCTATTTGATTACAAGAAACAGAGACTCATGCAACTAACTCAGGTTAAGAGAAGGTTGTGGCATGTATACATTGAAGGTAAAAAGGTCGATAAAAATTTTATACTATTCTTATCTGAAGGGAGTGGAGTAATCGGATATGTGATTTGGGATAATTCTTTGTAGTGTAAAGTATATATAAAGTGTAGTGTCGGCTAGCCCACATGCCGAAAGTGGTTGCCCCTTATAAAAAATGGACAGAGGAAAATTCAAGTCCTCTAGTCTTTCCTAGCTCATCTCAAAAAAAAAAAAAAAAAAAAAAGAAAGAAAACTTAAAAAAATAATGGATTAGAAAATGTAGTAATGGAGGTGGAAAATTGGTTAGAATGCTATAGTAGTAATTCAGGCAAGAAATGAAGATAGTATGAATTTAGTGATGATGGAGCAAGTGAGACTCATTTGAGAGATACTTGGGGTATAGCATTCACAGTACATGATAACATAATCAGGGGTCTGGGAAAAGGTCAATACCCAGGTTTATGGCGTAACCTACAGAATGAATAGAATAACATGAGAGTAGGAGGGAGTTAGAAGAATTTGTGGGGTAAATTTACTTTAATTTGAGGTAAGTCAAGTTTCAGGTTGATATGAGACATCATTAATACCCTGTAAGGAGATTTTATAGATAACTATATACACATATTCATAAGCTCACCCGTGGGACTTTCAGAAGCGGACACACGTTTGTGAGTTATCAGCAAAGAACCAAGCAGGTGGATGAGATTCCCCAAGGAAGGAGGGCAGGCAGAGAGAGAGCACAGAGGATAATGGACTCTTGATGATTCCATTGCCTAATAAGAGAAGGCAATGGTGGAGGAGACCAAGAAGGAACTTTGCAGTGATGGGGGGACATCAGGAGAGGGGAACCAAGGGATGAAAAAACTTCAAGAAGGAGGGGATTATAGATCGATTTGGAAGCTACAGTGAGGTCACATAAGATAAAGGCTGGGGCTCCCCTGGTGGCGCAGTGGTTGAGAGTCCGCCCGCCGATGCAGGGGGACGCGGGTTCGTGCCCCGGTCCGGGAAGATCCCACGTGCCGCGGAGCGGCTGGGCCCCGTGAGCCATGGCCGCTGAGCCTGCGCGTCCGGAGCCTGTGCTCCGCAACGGGAGAGGCCGCAGCGGTGAGAGGCCCGTGTACTGCAAAAAAAGTAAATAAATAAATAAAAAGGGAAAGGCTGAAAATTATCCATTGGATTTGGCAATAGGGAGTTCACTGATAACTGGGGAGGGCGGTTTTCTTGGAGCATTAGGGGCAGGGGCAGAGTAGTTCACTGATCACAGATGGGAGATGAGGAACTAGAAACAGCAACTGTGGACAACTCTTCCCAGAAGAAGTGTAACCAGGAAGCACAGGAGAGGAAGAAAATGCCATAGCTGGAAGATGTCACAGGGTTGAGGGGGGATTAAAAAAACTTGAGTATGTAAATATTGATTTTTATAGTGTTTTACCTGTATTATTTCATTTGTGTGTTTTACCTGTATTATTTCATTTGTTACAGTTGTCCAGAACTTACATGACATGGCATCAAGGGCCCTACCAAGGAAATTTGTCTTGGCCTTATTTTTTATGGAAAATTTCTGAGAATGTTGAATAATGATTATCCTAAAATAATTGTATACCTATAGTTTCTCCTTTAGATTTCCCCAGGCAGTATAGTGCAACTCTACTATTATGGTGATTCTTGTATGGATACATTTGTAGGACAGTTGGTCAGTGACCTTAAAATATATTCAGATGGAGTAAAAGCCAAACATAGCACAATCTTAGCAGCTATTTTGCCATAATTTCCCCAACAATCCATCTGGAAAGCTGCGTGTGATAGTCCCAGATCACCACGCCCCCTCTTCATCCATTCAGTCCTATCTCTCCCTCAAGCTCCAGATTGTTCCTTGTCTGCAGAGACTTTCCATGCTTCTTAACCCATGGTGTTGCTCTCTTCCTTTTGCAAAGCACATATTTATCTATCTCTCATTTACTTGGCAAGTAATCCTAGTTTGCTTTGAAATAACTTGTATCATGATTGCAGCTTTTCATGTACTTCTGTTTTTTATGCCTCAGCTAGATTAGAAAGCCCCTTGGAGTCAGTCCTCTTTTCTTCTGAATGCCTAGCACAGTTCTTTGCATACTATAGAGTGTTTTTTGAACAGGGTAGGCAGGAGAGGACAGGAAGTCAAGAAATGATTCGTTATGAAGGATTTCCACTCTATGTTCAGCAATAAAATCTCTTTATGATTTTAGGAAGCCAAAGGGGAACCAGAAACAATAAATGAGCACAGAAAAGAATGTGTGGCAGGAGGTAAGGAATGTTCTCTTCCAACCCCCATGTGAACTTTTATTCCCTGCTGGTATGTTTTATGGATGAAATCTTTCTGAGTAAAGATATGGCATCTACAACTCTGCATCTCTAGATAAAATCAGCCAAATAGAACTGATTTTGATTCAATTTGTAGCGTTTTCAAAAGGCCATATTTATGTTGCATTGCCTGTTAAGCCCAGAGGTCTTGTAATAACTAGTGCCCTATTGTGAACTAAGAACCATGCCAATGTTGGTAGCAAATTCTAAGCTCTACTCTTATTTTTTTATTGTTCCGTCTAAAAGCAAATAAGCCAGTATTTGAAGAATGAGTGCTAATATGCTTCTCTCCCCATCTCCCTTCTGTTAGGACGGAATAGTGAATAGAGTTCTGGCTTTGGAGTCACTCACTGTATGCTTGGTCACTCTCTTACTTGCTGTGACTTTGGCAAGCTATTTAACCTTGAGTCTTAATTTCTTCATCTGCAAAGTGGAAATGATGAGTTAGAAAAAAAAGAAAGTACCCTTTATGAAATATAGACTCTACTAAGTACTAGGCTAAATTCTCTATATGCATAGTTTTATTTAGTTCTCCCCAATATCTGTGTGAGCTAGGTAAGCTGCAATTCAGTTTCCTAGCCTATAAACTGTAGATAAGAACGATACCCACTACAGAAGGTTGGCTGTGAGGATTGAAGAAATTATGTATAAAGCACTTAGAAAAGTGCCTGATAAAAGTTCTCATAAAAGTTGCTGGTTTTAAATCCTTGGTCCGCAGGAAAACCAGGGTACCAGATGAGGCTATGCATTTAACCATGGAATCAAATCAAATAAACATTCAAATGCAGAAAGAACAAATTGGGCTGTTCCTTGACTCTGAGACATCTTCAGGTTTTCAAAGACTATTGACATGCTGAAGTGTGAGCCCATAATTTCAACATGTTCATGATCCCCAAAGCGTAGCCTAACGTTATCTTATATTTAAGCAAATGCATTATTAGCTGGCAGTCTTCTCAGACATATTTCAATGAACGCCTTTGTTTAGTGGAGGGAGGCCCTAACAACATTGGATTGAATGTGCCTGTAGCTGTTAAGCCTGTTTAACCAAATACTATCTTATTGTCTTTTTTTTTTTTATCTTACTGTCTTTTAATAGGCGCTGCTGTTTCCTCTCTTCCTGTGAAGTCAGTTAACTTTAGACAAAGTGACAAGTAAGCTCCTCCTCATATAGCATGCTCACATTTTTTGCTTTTCTGTTGAACTATGTTTGAGTTCTTTCTCTTATCTTACAGCACTTCTGCTAATGAGAAGGAGGTGGAGGTAAGTTTCAAGCAAATGTTTTTTCCTTTAGTAAAAATAATACGTGTTTCAGACTCACTCACCTGCAGTCCCTGAGAGCTTTTGCACAAGCTATCGTACGTTTGGTGTCTGTCTGGCTTGGCCATGACAAAGTGCAGGGAAAGCCTATGCGTGCCAGCATTATGTCACTGGGAGGAGAAAGAAATGCCTCAGTGTAATTTGGTATTAAACTGGAAATTTGACTACATCCAATGTTCTGTCCTCACCCTCACATTATTTTGACAACAGGCCGAATTTCTCAGGTTATCTTTGGGATTTAAATGTGACTGGTTCACCTTGGAGAAAAGAGTGAAGCTTGAAGAAAGATCCCGTGACTTGGCGGAAGAAAATTTGAAGAAAGAAATTACTAACTGTTTAAAACTGTTAGAGGTGAGACTCATAACATATGGGGACTACACGTTTGGTTGTATTATTAATAAGGTTTTCAAAATTACATAAGAGTTTACCTGTATGACTAAAACCAACACTAGGTACCAAGCCCTGCCTGACTCAAATGTCAGTTAATAGGAGGTAAGAATTCAGGATCAGGCTAAGATAAAAGGTTCACCAATAGAAGGGTATAAGGAATAAAATAAATAAATGTCGTTTAATGTAGTTATATGAATCTTCTGCCATCTCTCTGTATCTTCAAATAGATTCCAGGCAGAAGAGTAATTATGCAGAAAACTGAGCAACAGGAGATAATATCAACGTTAAGCTTCAAAGAAGAGAATCAAAAGACGATTTCCATTTAATTAACTGAAAAAAGAGAATGGTGACATTTCAGTCTTGTCAGATAATGGGCAAACCTTCTGTAAGGTACACAGAAGTGTAACAACTATTATTCTTCTATTTTGTGAAGTCACCATAAATATACGGATGGGTTGGAAAATTAAGGGGGCTAATTTTGGAAAAAGAAAATAAAAATATAGAAACCATATTCTGTTTTTTTACTGTGGTTAAAAAAGCACATAATGTAAAATTTACCATATTAATCATTTTAAGTGTACATCAGTAGTGTTGAGTATATTCACGTTGTTGTGAGATAGATCTTCAGAACTTTTTCATCTTGCTTACTGAAACTCTATAGCCATTAAACTATTCCCCTTTTGCCCTTCTCTCAGCCCCTGGTAATCACCATTCTACTTTCTGTTTCTATGAATTTGACTACTTTAGATAGCTCATGTAAGTGGAATCATATAGTATTTGTCTTTTTGTAACTGGCTTATTTCACTTAGCATAATGTCTTCAAATTCATCCATGTTGTAGCATGTGGCAGGCTTTCCTTCCTTTAAGGCTGAATGAAATATTCCATTGTATGTATATACCACATTTTGTTTATCTATTCATTTATTGATGGATATTTGAGTTACTTCCACCTCTTGGCTATTGTGAACATTGAACATTGTTGCTATGAACATGGGTGTGCAAATATCTCTTCAAGACCCTGCTTTCAATTCTTTTAGAAATATGGCCAGATGTTGGATTGCCAGATCATATGGAGTTCTATTTTAAGTTTCTGAGGAACCACCGTACTGTTTTGCACAGTGGTGTTACCATTTTACAATCCTACTAACAGTGCACCAAGGTTCCAATTTCTCTACATCCTGGCCAACATGTTATTTTCTGTTTTCTTCTTTTTTTTTTAAATTAATTAATTTATTTTTGGCTGCATTCGGTATTCATTGCTGCATGCGGGCTTTCTCTAGTTGCAGTGAGCGGCGGCTACTCTTTGTTGAGGTGCACCAGCATCTCATTGTGGTGGCTTTTCTTTGTTGCGGAGCATGGGCTCTAGGTGTGCAGGCTTCAGTGGTTGCAGCACGTGGGCTCAGTAGTTGTGGCTTGTGGGCTGTAGAGCACAGGCTCAGTCGTTGTGGCGCATGGGCTTAGTTGCTCCGCAGCATGTGGGATCTTCCCAGACCAGGGCTCGAACCCATGTCCCCTGCATTGGCAGGCAGATTCTTAACCACTGCGCCACCAGGGAAGTCCCTATTTTCTGTTTTCTGATGGTAGCCATTTAATAGGTGCAATGTGGTATCTCACTGTGGTTTTGATTTGCATTTCTCTGACGATTAGTATTGTTGAGCATCTTTTCATATGCTTATTGGCCATTTGTATATCATCTTTGGAAAATGTCTAAGTCCTTTGCCAATTTTAAAATAGGATATATGATTTGCAAATATTTTCTCCCATTCCATAAGTTGCCTTTTCATTCTGTTGATTATGTCCTTTGATGAACAAAAGTCTGTAAGTTTGATGTAGTGCTATTTGTCTATTTTTGCTTTTGTAACCTATGCTTTTGGTGTCATATTCAAGAAATCATTGCCAAATACAATGTCATGAAGATTTTCCCCTATGTTTTCTTCTAGAGTTATATAGTTTGGGGTCCTACATTTAGGTCCTTAATCCATTTTGAGTTGATTTTTGTATATGGTGTAAAATAAGAGCCCAACTTTACTCTTTTGCAGTTTTCCAACATCATTTGTTAAAGAGACTATCCTTTCCCCATTTTGTACTCTTGGCACCCTTGTCAAAGATCATTTGACCATATATGTATAGGTTTATTTCTGGGCATGCTGTTCTGTTCTACTGGCCTGTCTTTATGCCAGAACCATACTGTTTTGGTTACTGTATCTTTGTAATGTGTTTTGAAGCCAAGACATGGGATACCTTTAGCTTTGTACTTCTTTTTCAAAATTGTTTGGCTCTTTGGGGTTCTTTGAGATTCCATATGAATTTTTCAGTTTCTGAAAAAAATGCCTTTGGGATTTTGATAGAGATTACATTGAATCTGTAGATTGATTTGAATAGTATGGACATCTTAACAAAATTAAGTCTTCCAGTTCATGAACACAGGATGCCTTCCCCTTTGTGTCTTCTTTCATTTTTTCAGCAATGTTTTGTAGTTTTCAGTGTACAAGTCTTTCATCTCCTTGGTTATGTTTATTCTCAACTATTTTATTTTTTTGGATGCTATTGTAAGTGGAATTATTTTCTTAATTTCCTTCTTAGATGGTTCATTGGTAGTGCATAGAAATGCAGTTGATTTTTGTGTGTTGATTTTGTATCCTACAAATTTGCTGAATTTGTTTATTAGTTCTAACAGTCTTTTTGTGGAATCTTTAGGGGTCTCTTTAGGTAAGATCATGTCATCTGTGAACAAAGATAATTTTACTTCATTCTTTCCAATATGGATTTTTTGAATATATTTTTTTACTTGCCTAACTGCTCTGGATAGGACTTCCAGTACTAAGTTGCATAGAAGTGGTGAGAATAGGCATCCTTGCCTTGTTTCTGATCTTAGAGGAAAAGCTTTCAGTCTTTCACCATTGAGTATGATTTTAGCTGTGAGTGTTCATATGTGGCCTTTATTATATTGAGGTAGTTTCCTTGTATTTCTGTTTTTTTGAATATTTTTATCATGAAAGGTGTTGAATCTTGTCAAATGCTTTTCTTATCAGTTTAGATAATCATGGGATATTTATCCTTCATTCTGTTAATGTGGTGTATTGCACTGATTGATTTTCATATGTTGAACCATCCTTGCATTCCAGGACTAAATCTCACTTGGTCATGGTTTATAATCCTTTTAATGTGCTATTGAATTCAATTTGCTAGTATTTTGTTGAGGAGTTTTACATCACTATTCATAATGAATATTGGTCTGTAGTTTTCCTGAAATGTTGTTGTCTGGCTTTGGTATCAGGGTAATTCTGGCCTCAGAGAATGAACTTGGAAGTGTTCCCTCCTCTTCAATTTTTTGCAAGAGTTTCAGGAGGATTGGTATTAACTCTTCTTTAGCTGTTTGATAGAATTCTCTAGTGAAGCCATCTGGAACTGGACTTTTCCTCTTTGGGAGATTTTTCTTTTTATAACTGCTTCAATCTCCTTACTAATTATTGGTCTACTCAAATTTTCTATTTCTTCATGATTAAGTTTTGGTAAGCCATATTCTGTTTGACTAACAACTAATATATGCTCTTCTCTTTCTAACTAATGGTGGTTATTTAAACTGCAGTAAGGAACTGTATGTCTGACAATGGTCATTCCAGTTGGTTAGCAACTTTCCAGTTGCAACTCATACATATCTGCCTGTTTCAAAAGTGGCTGCTATTTCATTGAGCATCTATGGTGTGACAAGCAATTGGCATCTATTACCTCTCATGTCACAGTATCCCTGGAAAGAAGATGCAGTTGTCTCCATCTGACAGATGAGGAAAAAGCAAATCAGAAAGCTTGATATTATAACATTTGTAGAATGAAGATGCAATTTACAGTCAATGATGCCTTTTGGTTTTATTGGAAGCATTTTTCCTTTCTGATGCTATACAAAATTTATGGTATTTTAGACATGCACAAGTATTAGAAATTTGCTCATGATCACACAGCTAATGAGCAATGGCTTGTTGGCTTCCAAATATGCTGTTCTCTTAATTCTTTCTCCACCCCAGTGAAACAGATGGCCTTCCATCAGGAAAGCCATCATCTTGGTTCAAGGGCAGAGGTTTGAGATAAATATTCATAAGGCAATGAAGACGTAACGGCCTAACCAGCTCAATCTCACCTTGTCATCAATAGAAGAGCAAATCTAGTAATCAGAGTCATATCTAATTCGAGTATATTTTTATTACTTTTCTTAAAAGTTCAAACTATGCTCTTCATATAGTGTATTCAATTCATTTATAGGCATAATTTCTTTACCATTGCCAATTAATTACATCCCATCCTATTAATTGTAGAAGAAAGATATAAACACACATGAAGGAGTAGCAAATTTGGGAAGTAAAGAAGGAAGGGATCAAAAATAGTATAAAAGGCTTTGTGAATACCTGCATAGGTCTACCTCATAACCAACAAAGGTATTAATATTTCAGTATTATTCATTATTGGTCTTTGCTGCTGCTTTTCACCTTCCACAAAGATAATAGATTCATCTGCATTTACAATATAGTCAGTGTTAGAATCACTTGCTGAATACTTGGGTTGGATACTTTTTAATACTTTACTTTCTGTGCAGTCTTTAACACCTCTTTGTGAAGATGACAGTCAAGCCCAGGAAATCATTAAGAAGCTGGAGAAAAGTGTAACATTCCTCAGTCAGTGCACAGCTCGAGTGGCCAGTAGGGCTGAGATGTTGGGAGCCATTAATCAGGTAATTTGTCTCCCTTTCTCCAGTTACAATGAAATTACTAAAAGTGGATTACATTTCTAGGAAAAAACTATATTTGATCATTTCAGAATGTTCTTGATATTTTCCTGTTTCAAACAATGCTACAATAAATATCCTTGTTTATGCATCTTTGCACACTTATTCATAGAGAAGTAGATTTTCAAAATTTTCTTTGTGGGAAAATCTGGGGAGACTTTAAATTTTTGAACCTCTACCTAAACAAACTTGTTAAAATATATTTTCCTAAGAAGGAGACATTTCACTGTGATGATAGTTTTAGTCTGAACATTTGTTATACACTTCTAATATTCTAGTTTCTTTTTAACCCCTCGCCAGGCGGTAATATTCTTTGTTTTATTTTTATTAAAGTTACGTATGTGCATAGCTTTTTTAAAAAAAGTCAAGTAGTTCTCAAAGCCTCCTTATCCCATTTCGCATGTTCCAGAGCAACAACTTTCAACTCTTTTGGTTTGTTTTTTATTAATATTCATATCTCCAGATAATATGCTTATACTGTCACTAAGTGATTCAGTTTTAGATATTTATTGGTTTCCTACTACAAAGATGAATATTTATTTATCAATCTTTCCCCCTCACACCTCTTCACTGTCTTTCACCTTATTGTTGATCTCTCTTCTTTCCTAACCAAGCTTAAATTCCATGGTCAAACACAACATTAGCTCCCTTGCATGAACCCTTAACACTTTTCCTTCTCTTGTTTTCTTTTAATCATTAGGAAAATCTACAACCTTGTTTTAAATCCATTTCTCCACCTGATTATACCTGCATAGCTGGAAAACCTCACACCTCTATGCTGACTGAGTTCTTTTGAAATTCATCACAAACCTCAAGTGGTCCTTGGGGCTTCCCATCTTTCACACTTTCTCCTTTCTCCTCAAATCACCATCATGTCCTCCCCTCTCTCTCTGTCAAATAATGACTTTGCTTCTTAACTCAGTAAGAAAGTTGAGGCAATCAGAAGGGACCTGCCAAAAGCTCTGAACCTACAAGCACCTAAACCCTTGACATTGCCTTCCTTCCTGGTACGAAAGATGAGTTGTCTCTCATCCTATCCGTGGCCAACCGTTCCACCTGTATATAAGATCTCATCCCTTCTAAATTACTCAGAATCTTGGGCCCCAATTCTCCCTGCGTTCTTCCATCTCCAGTTTCTCCCCACGCTACTGAATCATTCCCATCAACACACAAATACGTTGTTTTTAAGACAGGAAAAATAACACAAAACAAACACAAAGAAAAAAATCTTTCACTCTTTCTCCTTTGGCTACCACCCTGTTTCTCTGTTCCCATTTTTAGCAAATCTCCTCAACAGAATTGTGCTGTTTCCAATTTCTCTCCTCCCAGTCTCTCTGAAACATATTCTAGTCAGCCTTAACCTGCTCATTTTCCTTAACCTGTCTGCCACACTCAACATGGCTGAGCTCTTCCTCCTCCTGGAAACACTCTCCTCCTTGGTTTCCAGGTACCACAGTCCCCTGGTCCTTCTCTCTACATCACGGGGCAATCCCTTCCAGACTCCTTTACGGGTCCCACCCTTTCTCCCAGCCCTCTTAATCTTGCTGGGCTCCAGGGCTTCACCTGTGCACGTCTGATTTCCATCGTCACTCAATCCCCATACGATCCCATGTAGTCAACTGATGACTCCCTAATTCACACACTCATCCCAAACCTCCGCCATGAGTTTCAGACTAGAATCTCCTACTGTTGATGTAGCTTGGAAGTTTGATAAACAATTTCAGCTTAACACATCCAAAAATAAACTTCTGACAGTCCCTCCAAAAACTGTTCCACACTTAGTCTCCTTACCTCAGTAAAGGGCAACTCTGTCCTTCCAGTTGCTGGGGCTGGAAAACCTTGGGGGCAATTCTCAACACGTTTCTCTCACACACCACATATAATCCTATGGACAATCCTATTTACTTTACCATCAGAACATGTCTGGAATTCGACCACTCATTTCCCTCTCCACAGCTACCACCTTAATCTAAGCCACCATTCTATTTTTTTCCCAGATTACTACAATATCTTCCTACATGGTCTTCTTGTCTCCATCTAAATCCAGTCCTCACCCCACCCCCATAGTCGCTTCTCAATAAAACAGCAGAATAATCCTTTTAAAACTTAAGCCAGATCATGCTACTCTTTTTTTCTTTCATGTTACTTATTGGTTCACAGCCCTCCAGTGGCTCCTCATTTTTTTCAGAATAAAAGCCAAAGTCCTCATGATGGCTTAGAAAGATCTACATGATTCCCCTGCCTTCTTACCCCTTGGACTTTATTTTCTGTGACTGTCTTCCTGGGTTATTGCACGCCAGCCACACGGGATTCGTTTCTGTTCATCATGCTGCCAACTCAGGCTCCCAGTTCTAGCTGTTCCCTATGCCTAGAATATTTTTCCTCCAGGTGTCCACATGTCTTAGCCCTCACCTTCTCCAAGTCTTGTTCAAATGTCACCTTCACAGAATAGCCCAGCTGACCACCTGAGCTCCCTTGTAAAATTTAAACCCCTTCCACCCCAGAGCTTCTCATCCTCCTTTTCCCTGTCTTTTTTCATAATGCTGATCACATTTTAGCATACTATTATGTTTTACTGACGTCTTATTTGTTGTCTATCTCCTCCCACTAGAATATAAGCTCCATGAAAGCAGGAATATGTGTCTGTATGGCTCACTGCTTGTCTCCTCAATGCCTAAAATGTGCATAGCAAGTACTCAAAAAGTTTTTGTTAAATGGGGGAGTATATGACACCAAAAGCAATGGCAAAAGAATAGATAAATTGGACTTCCTCTAAATTAAAAACTTTTGTGTATCAAAGGACATTATCAAGAACGTGAAAAGATAATCTACAGAGTGGAAGAAAATATTTGGAGATCATATATCTGATAAGGGTCTAGTATCCAGAATATATAAAGAACGCTTGCAGCTTGACAGAAGGAGAAACAACCCAATTAAAAAAATGCAAATAAGACTTGAATAGGCATTTCCCTAAAGAAGATATACAAATGGCCAATAAGCACATGAAAAGATGCTTAATTATTAGGGAAATGAAAATCAAAACCATAATGCTATACCTCTTCACACCCACTAGGATAGCTGTAGTAATAGAAGGAGAAAGGAAGAAGGAAAATAACTAGTGTTGACAAGGATGTAGGGAAATTGCAATATTATTATCATATTATTAAGATATTATTTAAGCATTAAAAGGAATGAAGTGTTGATACATGCTACAATGTAGATGAATCTGGAAAATTTTATGCAAACTATAGGTGCTAGACACAAAAGTCACATATTGTATAATTCTATTTATATATAGTATCTAGAATGGGTAAATCTTTAGAGAAAGGTAGAAGATTGGTATTGGCTAGGTTTTGGTGGGGAGGGGTGAGTGGGGAGTAATTGCTTAGTGGGTATGGGGGTTTACTTTGGGGTGATAAAAATGTTTTGGAACTAGATAGAAGTGGTGGTTGCACAACATTGTGAATGTACTAAATGTCACTGAATTGTTCACTTTAAAATAGTAAATTTTATATTGTGAATTACACATCAATATTAAAAAAAAAGAAGAAATACAATGAATGTATTTTGTCAGGTTCCAATTCAAATAAAACTGTAAATAGATGTTTTTGAGACAATTGGGGAAATTTGAATGTGGATTAGATGATAAGATGTTTCTGTTAATGTTGTTAGACGTGATCATGGCATTGTGGTTATTTAAGACAATACACTCCTATTGTTTTTTTTTTAGATACTTACTGAAATGTTTATGAGTAAAACAACATGATGTCCATCACCTGTACTTAAAAAGAAATAGCATTCAAAACTTGAGATGAAACTCATATAGCAAAATGTTAGTGGTTCTTGAAACTGGTTAATAGACATGTGTGGGCTTATTGTCTACTTTTTGTGTCTGTTGAAATTATCGTAATAAAATTTTTTAATTAAAAAAAGTGGATGGGGCTTCCCTGGTGGTGCAGTGGTTGAGAGTCCGCCTGCCGATGCAGGAGGCACGGGGTCGTGCCCCGGGCCGGG